TAATAATCTTGCATGAGTTCCTTGTTTTTCAATGCAGCATAGTATTCCATTGTGTGAATATACCACAGCTTCTCTAGCCATTTGTTTGTTGATGGGCACTTGTGTTGCTTCCATCTCTTTGCTATTGTGAACAAAGCCGCGATAAACATGGGTGTGCATATATCTGCTTGGATGTCAGTTATGGTCTCTTTGGTGTATATTCCCAGTAGTGGAATTGCTGGGTCAAACGGTATCTCTATTTGGAACTTTCTGAGAAAGCGCCACACCGCCCTCCACAGTGGCTGCACCGAGCAGAGCATGTCGTTCTTTCTGCAGTTGGAAGAAGATTCAAGGTCAGCAGGGGCTTCAGGAAAACTCCAGCGGGCAGAGCTTCTTTGTGAGGAATAAAAAGGTAGGATGAGAGAAAGAGGGAATGAAGGCCAGAACACTTACAGTCAGACTGAGAAAGGAGGTGATGAGGGTTGGTGAGAGCTTCTGGGGTGACCTGGGGCATCCGAGACCAGGAGTAGGGAATTTGAAGCAGGGAAATAAGTGGTTAAAGCTGAAATCTGTCTTTCTCACAGGCTAGGAGGGCTCGCCTCTCTGAAGGACCCCACTCCCTGGGATGCTCTAATCCAGCAATGGAAGATGGCATTAGTTATGCTGCCTTGCGCTTTCCTCTTGACGATACTGATGCATCAAGCACTGGGTACTGAGGGGACCAGGAGAGATGACATTTGTACCCTGGGAGAGATGCAGGGGCAAAGCTCACTTTATGCTTGACTTCTTTGTACCAGGCACCACCATATTTCTCTTATCTCATTCTATCCCTCAACAGCCTAATGGGCAACTAATGGTTTCTGGAATTGCTTCTGTTTCTTAAGCGAGGTGTTGATAAGCCAGGGTGCTCTGGTGGTGTAGTTTGTAGGGAGTTGGCTGCTAATCAGAGATGGCTCCTCTCTCCATCATCAACTCCATGGGATAAAGATGGATAATCTCCATCTGTGCCATTTACAGTCTCTGAAAACCCAGTGGAGGCTCCACCTCAATGCGCATGAGTCGGCTTTTTTTAAGATAGATAGATGCCTAGAGTCTTGACGGCTGACATTCTGTGACACATGCATACATTCTCTCATTTAGTGCATATTTCTACTTGTTAGCTCCTATTACAAGTATTCAAGAGCCTGGGTGATTCAGTGCTTACTGTGTTGGGCTTCAAGAAGTCAGCAGTTCAAATCCACCAGCTGCTTTATGGGAACACAAAGGGCTCTCTCCTCATGTTATGATTTACAGCCTCAGAAATCCAATGGAGGATTGCTCTAAATTAGAATTGACCTAGTGGTGGTGGGGTTGGGGGGGGGTCTGTGTGTGTGAGAGAGAGGAGAGAGAGAGGAGAGAGAGGAGAGAGAGAGAGAGAGATTGAGACACACAGAGAGAGCATTGGGACATGACAAATTGTTTTTTTTCAGGGAGGCCAGCCATGGTGCTGCTAGGGAACCAAACGTGTTGGAAGGAGGAGAGTTCATGTTAAATGCTCTATCTGTGGTCATTTGTTTGTTTTCCCTCTCAGTGATGTAGGCACATCAGTCAGTATCCCAAATGGAGAAGACACTGTCACTTATTCAGTGGTGCAAAAGCGTCGAGTGGTAAGAAGGCAGGGCTACGGTGGGGTTGGTGGTGGTAGGGACTGGGAAATTGAGACTCTGGCCTGTGTGAGAAAGACTTGGGTAGTTAATCATCAGGGGCAGGGGCTGGGCTTGGAAAGGGATGCTCAGAAGTGATCAGATCCCCAGGTCTCTTAGCACACCCCTGTGCCTACCCATACCTTCTGTCTCTGAGGTTTAGTCCAGGGTAAGAGGGGCAGAAAAGAGGTGAAAAATGCAGACTGACTACAGCCAGTTTCCCAGGAAGAGGACATCTGACTGGGTTCTTGTCGCCTCACCTGAACTTAACGGAGAATGAATAGGGAGGAAGAGTGGACAGTGGGAGGCTGGTGACCAGGAGGTCACGCTTATCATGCTGTGGCTTTCTCAGGATGATTATGAAAATGTGGCTCAAGCTATTCCGGAAGATGAGGGGCTACATTACTCGGAGCTGGTTCATTTTGGGGCTGGGGTGCGTCCTCCAACCAAGGAAGAAGTGGAATATGTGAAGCTCAAGCCCTGATGGGTACAATTGGTGATGATGGAGGCGACTGGGGGATGGGGCGGGGCAGAGGGGACTGGGCTTTCCAGAAGCGTTGCCAAGCCCTTGCTGCTCAGCCCCTGTCATACAGCACATCCTTCCCCCAAAACACATACACACACTCAGATATTACTGCCACCCCAGTGAAGGCAGAAAGCCTGGTGGCCGTCTTCCTTTTCAGTGCAGATAACCCTAACCCTCCAAGAAGCTTGTCCCCTGGTCCTTTTCTACTTTCCTTCCTTATCACACACTATAATATTCCTCCTACCCCCATCCACTCATCTGTACCTCCTAAAGCCCATCCCAAGTTTTTCTTCTCCCCTTATCTCTTTGACGCCTGCCTACCCCCACCCTTGCTCTGACATCCCGTCATGAATCTTGTGTTTTATTTCTGCCTTTGGGATAAAGCCCAAGAAATAGGGACAGAAATGAGGTAGAAAGAGCACTATTGCTAGTTTCTGCTCCAGAAATGTGTCTCGTGTTAGTGAGGCATTCCATGGGCAGGATTCTGCTGCTGCTGCTCTCCCCTGAAAATTCTGATGTTCTGAGACAGAGGATTGTGGACAAATATGTAACAAGCATGGAGCTGTACAATAAAAATGGCCCAGATACTGTTCGAAAACACTTGTGAATTATTTGTGGACCCTGGAGGTCAGTGTGTTTGGGGACAGGGAGATAGTCTAGAAGAGCAAGGAAAAGAATCACCGTCATTTTATGACCAAATTCGCTGATAGGAGAGTCCACTCAATTTAGTCTCCTATAAAATGAAAATCCTACCACTGATTGCATCTCAACATCAAGGAAACAAAAATCCTTGCCCCTGAACCTATAGAGAAAAGATTGAGACTGTCAATGCCTTCCTCTTACTTGGATCCACAACCAATCCCTTGGTACCACCAGTCAGGAGATCAGATGTATTGTACTGGGAAAGTCTATAGTCTGGGACCTCTCCAAATTATTGAGGAACAGTATGTCACTAAGGACTAAGGTGTATCTGATTCCAATCATGGTCTTTTCAGTCACTTGCTATATATGCATCTGAGAACTCCACCGTGACTAATGATGACAGAAGAAGAATTGTTACCTTTGAACGGTGGTGTTGAAGAGTAATGACTACTGACATGGACTGCTAAAAGAACAAATGGGTACATTTTGGAGAAGAATCAGAGTGCTCCCTGGAGGCAAGGATGAGGTAGCTTCATCTCACATACTTTGAGCATGTTGCTAGGAGAGGCTATACTTAGAGAAGGACATCATGTTTGGAAAGGTGGAGGGTCCATGAAAGAGAGGAAGGCCCTCATCCAGATGGATTACTATAGTGACTGCAGCAATGGATTTGAGTATGCCAGATTGTGAGGATGCACAGGACAGGAGAGGACAGGGTTCAGATTGGTTGTTTATAGGACTGCTATGAGCCATGCTTGACTCAGTGGCACACAACAACAACAACAACAACAAAAATAATATGATATACAAATATTTCTGGAGGAAAAGGAACTTGAATAATTCTTTAAAAGAGTGAAGAGAGTATAAACTGATGAACATGACACTATGTTCTTCACAACAGCCAAAAGGTGGAAACACTCAAGTGTCCAAAAACAGATGGCTGAATAAATAAGACAGAATATCATTCTGCCAAAATAAGGACTGAGGTTCTAATACGTGTCATGACATGGATGAACCTTGAAAACATAGTCCTGAGAGAAATAAAGAAGACATGGAAGGACAAATACTATGTAATTTTAATTATATGAAATATCTCAAGTTGTTGTTGTTGTTAGGTGCCGTCGAGTCGTAGACGACTCATAGTGACCCTATGAACGAACAGCCTGAGCACTGTTCGTACACAGAGTTTCCGGAGGCAAGCTGTTTCAGAAGTGGATGCTGCTCCTGCTTCCAGGCTTGTTTTAGTTGGGAAGTTCCACCAACACTGTCCACCGTGGGTACCCGTTACCATGATTGGCACATCACTGTCACAGTCTTCAGCATCACAGCAACCACAAGTAGATTATGGATCACCAGGGGCTCAGAGAAAAGAAGAAAGGGGAACTATTGCTTAATGGGTACAGAGTTCCTGTTTCAAATGATTAGAAAATTTGCAAAACAAATGATTATGTTTGAATCACACGGTAGTGTGACTGGTGTCACTTGAAAATGTAAATCAGTTAAAATGGCAAATTTTATGTTGTATATATTTATTTAAATATTATGAAAATTAGGAAATATAAGAGGAAAAAGATTTTAGGGTTTATGTACCCCAAATGAAGTCCAGTGTCATTCAGTATTTTTTTATTCACTCATAAAACTGAGCACCTGCTACTAAGTCATGTGCTGGGGAACAAAAAAGATCTGACAGAATTTCATCCTCATAGTTTAGAGTCTCCAAGAACATTTTTGTTGTCTAGGGTGCCCTTGAGGGAGCAGAAGGCAACCCCAGGCTTGATGAGGCCTGAAACAGGTTCCCTGGCAACCAGTAAGTAAGTGCCATCTCATCCTGTCCCTGGGCCCAGCTGCTGACATAAACCTGTTTCATGACCAATTGACTAAAAGATATGGCTGTCAATAGGCCTTGATTAGGCATTTAGAACAGGTGACTAAGAACTCTGAGGCCAGGATTTCCAGAATACAGGCGACCATTCTCCCAGAGTCCAGCCGATTTGCCATGCTTTCAGTAATGCTTATTGAGCAAACAATTCCACTTTCAATGGCAAGTAGAAGAATAAAATGCTTAGAAAGAAATTTATTATACAAAGAAAATTCTAAAGCGTCACTTAGAGATTAAAGAAGACTTGAATAAATGGAAAGTTGTATAGTGTTCATGGATTGGAAGACTCAACATTGTTAAGATGTCAGTAATACCCAAGGCAATGCAATTCTGATAAAAATTCCAACAGCCTTTTCTGTATAAGTAGAAAATCCACTCTTCAACTTTATATGGAATGGCAAGAGACCCGGAAAAGCTAAAACATGCTGAAAGTGGGAGAATTTATCCTTCCAGATTTTAGAACAAGAACTTTGGTGGCCTCGTGGATAAGCAGTTGTGCTGCCAACCCAAAGACAAGCAGTTTGAATCCAGCAGATATTCTAAAGGAGAAAGGTGAACAATCTCCCCACATGTGATTTACAGTCTCTGACATACACTGGGGGTCAGCTATGGGTGGGGTCTGACTTGACAACACATAATAATCACCACAACAATCACAACTTACAGTGATAGTAATCAAAACAGCCTGCTCCTGGTATAATAACAGACACAGATGAGTGGAAGAGGATCAAAAGTCTCGAAACAGCTAGTTGAAGAATCTTTGGAAACGGAAATGTGACAACTAAAATAATAAAATTCTTAGAAGAAAATGCAGGAGTTGTGACTTATCTTATGCAATATCAAAAGTGTGAAGAACAGAAGACAAAATATATAATAAATGAGACCTCATGAAAAATAGAAAATATTCATTAATCAAAAAATTTACCAATTTTCCATGGAAGGCAAACTTATGACTGTCGTAGTATACACATAAACCACGAATCCAGTAAGAATCTAATATCTCATAAGCATATGTTGTTGTTGTTAAGTGCCATTGAGTCGCAGACAACTCATAGTGACCCTATGAACAAAAGACCTGAACACTTGTATAATTCTCGTCATTTCTCCAACTTCATAGGGTTTCCGGAGGCAACCTATTTCGGAAGTGGTTGCCACTCCTGCCTCCAAGTGTGTTTTAATCAGGGAGCTCCACCAAATACTGTTCACCATGGGTAACCATTATCGCATTTGACATATCAATGTCATAGTGTTTATCATCACAGCAACCACGAGTTACCTCTCTATACAGCAAATGGGCAGACAAGTGCCATACCACTTAATTGTTTGACCTAAAACAATTAAAACCAGGTAGGAGGGCCATAGATTAAAATCACCCACCTTTCGCTTGGTAGCATCACTTTCTGTCCACTAGGCCAACTGAGCTCTTTCTATGTTGTTGTTAAGTGCTGTTGAGTAGACATAAGCATATGTTGTTGTTAAGTGCCATCGAGTTGTAGGTGACTTGTAGCGACCCTATGAACGAAAGTCCTGTATACCTGTATAATTTTTGTCCTTTCTCCAGGTTCATAGGGTTTCCCGAAGCAAGCTATTAAGGAAGTGGATGCCACTCCTGCTTCCAAACTTGTTTTAATCGGGGAGCTCCACCAAACACTGTCCACCATGGGTAAACATTCTCACATTTGACTCATCAGTGTCACAGTGTTTGGCTTCACAGCAACCACGAATGACCTCTGTACAGCAAGTGGACACACCGGGGTTAACATGACCTAGAAGACTGTTTAACCAAAAACAATTAAAGGCCAGGCCTGAGGGCCGCGGAGTAGAGTCACCCACCTTTGACTTGGGAGCGTAAGCATATAGATAGATAATATTTCAACAATAACATAAAAATGACAAATAATTCAACTAAAAATGGGCTCAGGACTTAATAAACATTTCACCAAATGGTCAGCAAAGACACTATTAGTCACCAAAAGAGAGGCAAGCCAAAACTAGATACTGTTTCATTGTCACTAGGAGAGCTAAAGGAAATAGAAAACACAACTGCCGTCAAGGCTGTGAGGAAACTGGAATTCTTATTCATTGCTGGGAATAAAGGAATAATTTGCTGCTCTGCAATCCCAAACGCACACAGTTTGAGGCTACCAGCTGCTCTGGGAAGAAGGAAGGGAAATCTCCTCCCTTGTGATTGACTGCCTCTGAAAACCTGCTGGAGCTTCAGCTGTGGGTTGGCTCTGACTCTGTGGCGCACAACAACACAATTACGGAAAACAGTATGACATTTCCTCAAAACACTGAAAATAGAACTACTTTGTTGTTGTTGTTAGGCTACAATTTATAGTGACTGCGTGCGATGATAGGAAGTTCTCTGTCCAACCCTGCGCCGTTGTCACAATTTCTCCTGTGTTTAAACCCATTGTTGTATTTACTGCATCAG